TATATTTGCACTTTGGTATTATATTTATTTACGTTACAAAAATACAAAATCCTTATAAGCTTAAAATACAGTACAAAATTACAATACAAAAATACAAAATTCTTATAAGCTTATTTTCGGCCTCACATAGTTTCAGGCTATCTCAATTCACTTTGTCAACAAGTTCATATTGCACCTTTAGGGCATGACACGTTTTTCCCTTAAGCTAACGTTTCTGAGAACTGTAATCTTTAGCTATCGGTTTAAAGGTGGTGTTGTGTCTCTGTTTATGGAGCTCACGCGGTTGTATGTACACACCCTTGAAATCTTCAGAGTAAGCATTTTCCACATGGCGTTCAAAGTTCGAATTTACTGGTCCGTAAATATTCTCCACCAACATTTGACGGGTTTTGCCTCTCACGTTTTGTAACTCTTGTACCTTTGTACAGTTAAAAATGATAGTTAGCAATACGCAAAACTCGACAATAGCAACTATGAGACTAGCGCTCAAAAACACCACATACTGCTCACGATACCAGGTGTCCAAGTAGCTTAGGCATGGTGACATGTGTCGATAGTCGGCGAAATCCACCTTCTGCAATGTTTGACATTGTGTCTCATTCACTGGCTTCGGATCCAAGTAGGACAGTTTGTCGTTCGCATTTTTTAAAATGCAACAGGTGAGCGGTACCACCCACTCGCGCTGGCCATAGCGCTGCAATTTCCAGAGAGATGTATCATAATTGATGTCACTACTCATTCCGCAGCAGCCGAATCGCGCTTGTGCCAAGTCCATGGCAATAGTAAATTGCTCCTTACCAGGAACACCATAGTTTCCCTGCAGGGCCTTCACCATTTTTGACTCGTCCAAGGTTATTCCAAGACAGTGTGGCCACAATGTGATTGCCAGGCAGACCATCGATTCAGCTAAAAGCAGTACGATTACGGCGAGGAAATACAAACTGAGGCAACAGTAGGTGTGCAAGCAAGACGCCCAGAAGCCGGCTATGGCGGAGAGTACAGCCACCAATCCTGCCAAAGCGAAACCAATCGCAATATAGTAAAATAAGGGCTGAGGTAAATCGTTGAGTTGTTCACTTGTAGCTGCTAGCAAGCGGGAGAGCAAGATACGCTTAGAATCGGTGAACAAATAGAAACCGGAAACTACAAGCGTTACACCACAAAACTAAAAAAAAAAATAAGTGAACTAGTTTTAATAAAAACTAATTTATAAACCATAAAATTATTTGAAAATCAACAACACCGAAGAATAACACATGTTTGATATAAACCGCAAGCAAAAATACTTCAAAGATGTATGATTTTTATAAATTAAAGAAGCAACTTTAAGAGAACTCCCCCAAAAGTCCTTCTGAAGTATGTCCTATAAAAGCCCTTTTGGAAGGCCTTCCATGGGTAGCGAAAGAAGAAGCCTTTCAATTTGTGCCACTCCATACAAAAAAGAAAGGAGAATGGAATGTAGAGTGGAAGGCCTTTCAGAAAGGCTTTTAACTCCTGAAATTATCTACTGTATACATATGGACATCCACCCCACAGTTTCAAGTGAGCTATTGTTAAGTGCAGACGGCATCTTAGAAATCACCTCATGGGAGAAAAGACAGCAAAATAACTTTTTTTTTAATATAATATGCCCCTTTTGAACTTTGGCTACTGATTTAAAAGACTGTATAGGTTAAGCACTAAACTATGACTTAGTTGATTATAGTATTTTTAATGTTATTCCTAACATTCGCATTCGCATTCGTGAATGTCAAGAATATGACATTCGAAACATCCCTAGTATGTATGTACATACATGCATTCATATTTAGTCAACGATATTTACATACATACACACAATATGTATGCACATGTCGCTCTAAAGACTAATAACTCAGGAAACGAAATTTTTGAGTAAATGATGCATAATAAATATTGAAGACTATAAACGTGTATCCTGAAAAAATTTAATTTTTTGAATTATGACAATCTTTTCGTAAACCCGATAAGTATAACGAAAACCTTTTAAAATCTGCCTTAAAATTATGGCTTCTTTTTACAAATGTGTATTACTATAACGACTAACTACAGGTTTTTATATATGTATGTACGTGAAAATAGTTTAACATTAGTTAGACTTACCAAAAACAGAAGATTGCAACAATTGAGTAAAACCTTGTGATTGTGCAAGAACGCCATTGATTAAATTTATTTCTGTCTATCAATTTATCAGAGTGACGAGCCCATTTGCAACCGCAAGAAGAATCCGATGATTATAATTTGATGCAATATAATAATAATGGTTTCGTAATGGTGGATAATGGTTTCGTAGGCGGTGAGAGAAGTAGATCAGTCCCTAAATTTTTTATATTCAATTAAAATTGCGCCGCTGCTTAGCCAGTGTAAATTGTTGTAATTGTATACGCATCTAAAAGTCAGACCGTTGCAAAGCGTACGCTGAATAAAACTGATTTTACGAGTTTTGGGTTTCTGGTGGCGATGAGCACTCAACGTGCAACAATTGATTGAAAGAGCGATTTAGATCGGAGCATGCACATATATTCATTTGTCTGTAGTTTGGAGCACAACACCTTCGCTCTGGTCGCAATGATTCTCGTTTTGTGGGCGCAGATAAGCAAACTGACAATAGGTTTTGTGCTCTTTCCAAGCGACTACAATACAAACGCGCGAATACGTCGAAGTGACTATGTATGCATGTGTACATACATATGTGTGTACTCATGTAATTTTTGATTTTCCTGTGTCTGCGCTGTGATGCGGAACCCTTACCATAGCTAGTGCGGCTGCTAAGGTTAAATAGAGTAATGAAAAAAAAACTAAAAAATATGTAAAGATAAAGTAAATAAATATGTACTTGGCGATCAGAGTTTTACCGCTTCGGTTTTAGGTCGAGCTTTCCCTCGATATTCCGGGGTAAATCTTCAATTTATCATACAAATAGAGGGTATAACTTTACACCGGGTCCGAACTCAAGAAGATTTTTGAGAAGTTTCCATGGCCAAAATAATCCTGGAAGCTTACTATTGCATACTGGTTGTCGATAGCTAATATAAAAATCCAGGGCTCGAATCATGGAATTTTGATATCGGCACTCGATAAAGAGTCAATTTAAATTTAAAACAACAGTAAATTTCTTTCATTCGGTTCCAAAATAGCATTCATTCGATCACGGATGTCGTTATTCGGGATCTCCGTAAACTTGGCGAACAAATTTATTTTTTTTTAAATCAATGCATGGAATAATTAGGGCACGTACGGAAGTTGATTCAAAATTTACCCTTTTGGAGATTTTATCATGCAATTAATAAGCTTGACGGGAGAATATTACTCAACTTCCCAAAAATGCAGATCTGGGCACTTATGATTACTGTAATTGTAAGCCAGAAAATTTTTAGGATTCCTCCGATTACTTTAATTATAATTATGAAAAGGTTGCGAATACTTTAATTGTAATCCTTAAAATATATCGACCATAATCAAGTGATTTGGGTTAAAAAATTAACACTCCACTGCGAGTGTCGACTGGTAGTAGATAAACGACTATTATTCGATTATCGCTTTTGCATGGTATTGTGAACGTCGTTATCTCGTTAAATAAGTTAGTGTGAATATTCTAATGCTTAACGAGTTCAGGACAACAAAACTTTGTGCAAAGTGTTTCAGCATAAACCTGACATCCAAATCGCCACACAGATACCAATTTTGCTCAAATTGCCGTACCTGTTGGAATCGTGATGTTTGTACTTCTGACCGTGAAAACAGTTTAACTTTAGTTATGAAGAATAAAATTTGCATAATTTGCTGAAGAAATTATAATTTTTATAAAAACATTACTTTTATTTTACGAATGAAGCTAACCAATTATTGCTATTCATGTTCAGGTTACTCTTAATATTAATGTACGCCTTCCTGCTGTCGACTATGGTGGAACCATTAAAACATAGATAATGCTAATGTTGCACCATACAAATAGCTAGCAACCACTTACATTGTCGTGCGCACAAGTATATCGTTGAACTGCAAGAAATGCTTTCGCCGAACACTGGTCGTTGGTGCTCAAAAATCCATGGAGGCAGCACTGGACGCAACGCCAGCACCACAACCAGTTGTATGTTTACTTTCAGTACCATCTTCTTGCAGCTCTGTAAAATTAAAACTTGAAAACTAGTCAAAATACTTAAATATTGTTAAATTTTACCTGGGGGCAAATGAAGCTTTTCAATGACGAACTTCTTTCGCCGTAATTTGAACGCCAAATCAGAAGTCTCCGGTATATACGCTGTAAGAGTATTAACGGCTGTTATTTTATGCAAATGCAACAGACCATTGTACTCTTTAAATGTTAAATTTGTTTCCCGATCTGATCCTGCAAATGATTCTAATTCTATAGCATAGTCCACTAGATTGCGTATTTTCGGCACAAGCGTCTCATCCTGTAGAGAAACGTTTTAGAAAAGATTACTTTACATAGCAAAGTTTTATATATACTTACGAACTTCGCGATCAAATTCATAGGTATGGTGATGAGACAAACACAGGACGAATTACGAACTATAGCTCTTAGAATTGTTAAAAACTTTAGAATATTTTGGGAAAAATTTTCGTCGTACCACAGCGGCGATCCCAGTGATGTTATACAAATTCTACAAAGGTTACGATACAACAAGGAGCCTGTTGCAAACTTTTCTTCCCTAGCTAATAATTGAACCGATTTGAGGAGATGCTGATAATTCGGATTGTTGAAAATTTTCTGTTCATTCTGCAGACGTAAGTGCGCTTGAATCTTATTATCTAAATTTGAACTTGGGGACGTCTGCTGATTGATTTGAGCGTTATTTGCAATTTGAATGCTTGTTGATGGGTTTGTAGATCTATGAAATTCATCGGGTGCTGCATTTCTCATTTCTTGCCCTAAATCCACCTCTATGCAACTAGTGTTGCTTTCATTTCTGTTGTTGGCATTGTTTTCACCGGCGTTATCCTTTGGAGGAACAATTGGCTTAGAGCGCAGGAAAACCTCTTCACCATCACCCAATTTATCATCATCTTCATCCGAATTTCCATTCCAAAGCACTGTATCCACAAAGTCTTGTAAATTTTTATCCATATATTCCATTAAGTTAAAGTGGTGTCCTATCTTGCTAGGAGTTTGTTCCGAGTTCACAGGTGGAAGATCATTATAACGCCAGGCAATTCGAAGACCGTTTTTAGGAGTTTCTTCTTTTTCCTGTTCGGCAGATTTCTCCAGTTCCACTTCATCGTCATTAAGTGGTTTCGGCAATTTGTACATAATTTCCTGTGGATCCTCATCCAAACTACCCAAGAAAATCGATTGGGCCGAAATTACCCCTTCTGCAACAAAGTACTTGGCCAAAACCTTAGAATATGTAACGTATTTATCTTCCTCTGTAGTAGTGTAAGAAAATTTGAAGGTTAACTAATTTTCGCACTTTGATTACATGAATAATACTTACCAATTAGACAGATTGAACCAACAGGTAAACCGCCACCTAAATGATATTTCAAAATTTAGTACCAACTAAGTTCGATTTATCTGTTGGGAAGTGGTTTTTATTAACTTACCTACAACAACGTCTAGAGATGGATTGCCACTTGACGTTATTACTTGACCAGTTTGTGGGCTCGTGCGCGTACCTGGAATTGGTTTTTGAACGTGCCGTTTGCGAAAGCTAGACATTTTACGCTATTATGGAAATGACGTTGTCTTAAATTTCAGAATTGTCGATATTTTTATCCAATATAACAACGGCCAAAGGCAATTACGCAAAATAACCTCTTATTTTAGTAGCTTCAAAACACAACACTGCCTTCTTAGCCCGTACCCGGTGGCGCTTATAACAATGGAGTTTTTCACGTGAAAAGCGCGAGGAACGCTAAAATGTAAGTAACCGCCGTTATGCTTTTCCACCCAATTTACGAAAAACTTTGCTGACCGATCTTCCCGTAGCACTTATTTCGGTATTCGTTGTATATCAATTTAAATAATAAATAAAGGTTTTTACTCCTTTCCACGTTATTATATTCTTATCGTTCCTTCAGCCACCTACAATGTTCTCCCTATTTTCACCTTTGCTTATCGTCTCAGTATATCTGAGCTTATCGTTGACGAAATGGCCATGTTCCTTCTTGTACTTGATGGTAGCGATGAAACGATACGTGTAAATACTAGTACAAATTCGATACTTTTCTTTCCATACACAGTAATTTTGGTATCGATACTTTTGAACCGAGTACTGAGTAGATATCGATAAAAGTACTCGTATCGGAAGAAGATACCAAGGCGATTTTTTGTTTAGTTTTACTCCACTAATATGAATCGCCAAATGCTTTATGCTCAGTATATCCAGTAAACAAACTGAGCTGTTATCGCCAAATTTGGTTCCCATAAAGGACTTGCCAAGACCGATAGAATACAAGATTGCGGTGATTGATATGAAATTTTGGAGAGTAACGTCAATATGACGTCATCGCAGATTTGCCAGTGGGGAGATCTGAGAGAGATCTATCAGTAAGGTCGGTGTTATGCAGACAAACTTTTGTTTGCCAAATTAAATGGCGGCTGCTTAGTTTGCTCGGAGGTGGTTATGTCGAGTTTGGCACAGGGTTGCACGTTCATTATGGTTTTCATGGCTATTGCCAACACGAAATGAGAATTTCAGATGTACATAACGCGCAAAATTTAAAATTTTTGTATATAACAACACTGCTGCAGTTTGACCAAACAAAAGGTGCGTTCGCGTAGCTGTTAATTGTTCAAGTTTAACCAAAACTTACAGGCTTTTGCGTTCGCGAACGCAAAAAACTTGCAAAGTAGGGGAAATTGAGAGAGCAAAGTGACATTTCATTTTGAGGGGAAGCTGTTAGTTTCTGTTGGAAAAATTTTTGCCAACAGCAATTTGCCAACAGGGAAACAGCTGATCAAAAACAGCTGGTTGGCATTTACGCAAATCACAAAATTGAATTTGATGGTTTGGAAGATAAAAATTACAAAATGCGACTAATTAAACTTGTAAGAAATAAGTAGTTATTTGTTTAATCAATAAACTGTGTCAGTATAACACTTTGCGACGACTTTTCGTACGTTTTAAATTTTACACTTTTGTATGTAAACAAAAATTATATCAGCTGTTCGTCTAACTTGCAAGTTTCTGCAAATTTTCTGTTCGCGTACTATTTTGGATATTTCTCTCTTGTGAGAGAACAGATGACATTTCGCCGGAATTTGGCAGTTGGTTGGTTTCTGCTGGAGA